GAGCCCATGAGGCCAAAAGAGGGTTTCAGATTTCCAGGAGCTGGAGTTACAGATGGCTACATGATACCTAACGTGGGTGCTGGGACTTGAACTCCCATTCTTCTCCAAAGGACAAAAAGTACTCATAACCTCTGGGCCATGGTTGTAGCCCATAGATCCTTATCAGTTTGAACAAGCACTAGCTTGTGAAACTAAGAGACTCTAAAATGCATAGTGATTCAGGTACTACTCATTTATTTCTTGTTGTATCTAATGGACACATTTCTGTTGGGAAGAAGGCTGGCTTAATGCAGAGGATGCCACCCAGCAAGTCTGCAGTTTCCTTATTTAAGGAAGGAACAGATCTCTTTCCTAACTACTGGGTCAAGGCCCACTATTATGCAATGGTTTACAACGGTTTTGTGGATGCTCTGGTCCTAGCTTTTGACACCTATGAATGTAGGAGTTGGATACTGGGACCTGTACCTCAGAAAATCAAAGTTCTCTTGGACTGTTTGGGAGGTAGAACAGTCAGGGGAACTGCAGCTGACCTTTGCCTCCCTGTGTTAACTTTGCCTTTCAAACTCTTGTTGGTGTATCTGGTGGCAAGAGCCAGCTCCTGTGTTAAGGCTAGCTGTAAAGGAGACCAGGAAATTAACTTTCTAGCTTAGATTTTTGTCACTATCTGTATGAGCATTCATTGAGAAATGCAACTGACTTGGACTTGAAGGAGCCAGTACGCACTCACAGGATAAAAGGGCAAAATGACATTTAATAAAGTGCTGACAGCCATTATCTCTGGGTAATTATATCATAGCACTACCCCCCCCCCTTTTTTACTGTCTTGATTTTTATTTTTAACCTTATCCATGTTTCTCATTATAGAAGACACTTTATCTTTCTGTCAATTCCAAACACTTTTGTTGGGTTTTGTAAGAACATAACCTGATATATCTGGTTATACTGCTGCAACCACTGGAATACTTGACTTGCAGTTTACATACTATAGAAATTTAATTTATGTGGAGTTTTCTTAGAGATAATGGCAGCCTCATGACTTAGGTGAAACTTTAAGTATGAATACTTTGGGTATTTTGAAGTATGTCACCCAGATCATCTCTACTTTGCTAACAGTTGTGGGTGCTTCTGAGTTTCCAACTTCTGATGAAGCTTGGTAGTTATAGAAACCAAAAGATATCTGTGTTATGAAGGAGGCCAAAATAATTATATGCATCATTAATGTTTCCCTGGGCAGGTCTGAACTGGCTTCTTCTGTTCTATATATTGCTGTGTTTTGATGATTGTATGTAGTATGGGATGCAAAAAGATCTTTTCCTTAGCTCTTGCAGTCAACGAAGGAACTAGTGAAGTAAATAATTTATCTGTAGCTGATAGTTTCTTGGTTTTCAGGAACAGGGATAAAGGGTAGAAGAATACACCACTAAAACTGGTATAGGTCATGACATGAGAGAGTTCAGGAAGTAAGCCATATGCAAACATACTGGGCGTCTATAATTCTCAGTCTGAAGAGAGAGAGTAAGGCAGCCAAAACAATAGCAACAGCAAGCTGTGTTTATGCTTTCTGACACTAGAAGAGGAATTGTTGGTATTTCAGTAAATCCTGTATTCCACGACTCAAGAAGAGTGTTGAGAAATTTTAGGAGGTCCTATCATGAAAAGCTTAGGGATATTCATGGCTTGCCCAGGTCAGTTCATATGGAATTGTTTAAGTGGGCACAGTGTAACAGGGATTGCAGCTTCCAGATGCTAGCTACTACACTTTGTTGTCTCTGGATGCTCTTTTTTGGGGAAGATAGATATGTCCCACAGTGTGAAATGTACCAAGAAGGGATGCACAATAGTGTGTGTGTGTATATATATATATATATATATATATGTATATATATA